GAACATGGAAGGAGAAAACACCGTTGACAGCGGTGAGAAACTGTATAAGTGTAGTGCGTGTGCACGAGCATTCAGCCGATCATCTGACCTCTCGAAACATAAACGGAGTCACAAGGAGAAACTGTGGAAATGTGGGGACTGTGGGAATGGATTCAGATCCCCAACTGAACTGGAAATTCATCGGCACAGTCACACTGGGGAGAAACCATTCTCCTGCTCTGAATGTGGCAAGGGATTCAGTCAGAAATCCCACCTGCAGAGACACCAGCGAGTTCACACTGGGGAGAGACCATTCATCTGCTCTCCGTGTGGCAAGGGATTCACTTTGGCTTCCAGCCTCCAGACGCATCAACGAATTCACACTGGGGAGAGGCCATTCACCAGCTCCTAGTGTGGGAGGGGGATTCTCCGACGCATCCAGCTTGATGACACATCGGTGAGTTCACACTGAGAGAGTGTTTACCTGTTCCCACTGCAGGATGGTGTTGAGGTGTTTATCTGAACTGACTGTACATCAGCAGACTGCCTGTGGAGAAGCTGAGTGAGGGGATTCACTGAATCTGCCACTTGTGGACAGTTCACACTGGGGAGAGGCTGATCCCCTGCACCAAATGTGGGACGTATTCCCTCCGTCATCCAGCCTGCTGAAAGACCAGTGAGTACATTGTGTGAAGAATCTGTTCACGTGCTGAATGTGGAAAAGCAATCACTCAGTCATCCAGCCAACTGAGAAGCCATCGGGTTTGCACTGGGGAGAAGCCTTTTCAATGTCCAAACTGAGCGAAGTATTTGAAAAGATCCTGGGAGCTGACATCCCACGTACTTGTTCACATTGACGTGAGTCTGTTCCGATGCACTTACTGCAGGACTGAGTTCAGGTGAGAAACTCAGCCCACTCGACAGCAGTAAGTTCACATTGGGGAGAGGCTGTTCACCTTCTCTGTGTCGGGGAAAGGATTCATTGAGTTACGAAAACTGCTGAAATGCCAGTGAGTTCCTGTGTAACTGCAGTGATGAAAGATGTATAATTTAAATAAATTCCAGTTTTGGAAGTTGGCTTTTATAATAGAGACACTGAATGTGGGTCATTTTCTGAAAGTTTTCTTTAGAATAAAAAGTGAGAGTCCTTGTGAAACAGTGACCTTCCTCCAGCACTGCTCAGAAAGCAAGTG